CCCATAACTATTGAAATTTTTACCCGATTTAAAAGTGGAATGCCTCTCTGAATTTGTTATTAAAATATCTATCTAGCTACATCATTGGTTTACTTTCGAATTTTTGGTCAATGTTTCGTCATTTTTTATGACCCCCGACCTGTCAAAATTTGCAAAAATGGGTTTGCAGAAAAGTAACAAGATCCCAGCACTGCTTATCCCAAACCTTTTGAAATTTTTACCCGATTTAAAAGTGGAATACCTCTCTGAATTTGCTATTAAAATATCTATCTAGCTGCATTATTGGTTTATTTTCGAATTTTTGGTCAATATTTTTTAATTTTTTATGACCCCCGACCTGTCAAAATTTGCAAAAAATGGGTTTGCAGAAAAGTGACCAGATCCCAGCACTGCTTAGCCCAAACTTTTGTAATTTTTACCCGATTTAAAAGTGGAATACCTCTCTGAATTTGTTATTAAAATATCTATCTAGCTACATCATTGGTTTATTTTCGAATTTTTGGTCAATGTTTCGTCATTTTTTATGACCCCGACCTGTCAAAATTTGCAAAAAATGGGTTTGCAGAAAAGAGACCAGATCCCAGCACTGCTTAGCCCAAACTTTTGAAATTTTTACCCGATTTAAAAGTGGAATACCTCTCTGAACTTGTTATTCGAATATCTATCTAGCTGCATTATTGGTTTATTTTCGAATTTTTGGTCAATATTTTGTAATTTTTTATGACCCCCGACCTGTCAAAATTTGCAAAAAATGGGTTTGCAGAAAAGTGACCAGATCCCAGCACTGCTTAGCCCAAACTTTTGAAATTTTTACCCGATTTAAAAGTGGAATACCTCTCTGAATTTGTTATTCGAATATCTATCTAGCTGCATTATTGGTTTATTTTCGAATTTTTGGTCAATATTTTGTAGTTTTTTATGACCCCCGACCTGTCAAAATTTGCAAAAAATGGGTTTGCAGAAAAGTGACCAGATCCCAGCACTGCTTAGCCCAAACTTTTGTAATTTTTACCCGATTTAAAAGTGGAATACCTCTCTGAATTTGTTATTAAAATATCTATCTAGCTACATCATTGGTTTATTTTCGAATTTTTGGTCAATGTTTCGTCATTTTTTATGACCCCCGACCTGTCAAAATTTGCAAAAAAAAAGGGTTTGCAGAAAAGTGACCAGATCCCAGCACTGCTTAGCCCAAACTTTTGAAATTTTTACCCGATTTAAAAGTGGAATACCTCTCTGAACTTGTTATTCGAATATCTATCTAGCTGCATTATTGGTTTATTTTCGAATTTTTGGTCAATATTTTGTAGTTTTTTATGACCCCCGACCTGTCAAAATTTGCAAAAAATGGGTTTGCAGAAAAGTGACCAGATCCCAGCACTGCTTAGCCCAAACTTTTGAAATTTTTACCCGATTTAAAAGTGGAATACCTCTCTGAATTTGTTATTAAAATATCTATCTAGCTGCATTATTGGTTTATTTTCGAATTTTTGGTAAATATTTTGTAATGTTTTGTGACCCCCGACCTGTCAAAATTTGCAAAAAAAGGGTTTCCAGAAAAGTGACCAGATCCCAGCACTGCTTAGCCCATAACTTTTGAAATTTTTACCCGATTTAAAAGTGGAATACCTCTCTGAATTTGATATTAAAAAATCTATCTAGCTGCATCATTGGTTTATTTTCGAATTTTTGGTCAATGTTTTGTAATTTTTTATGACCCCCGACCTGTCAAAATTTGCAAAAAAAGGGTTTCCAGAAAAGTGACCAGATCCCAGCACTGCTTAGCCCATAACTTTTGAAATTTTTACCCGATTTAAAAGTGGAATACCTCTCTGAATTTGTTATTAAAATATCTATCTAGCTACATCATTGGTTTATTTTCGAATTTTTGGTCAATGTTTCGTCATTTTTTATGACCCCCGACCTGTCAAAATTTGCAAAAAATGGGTTTGCAGAAAAGTGACCAGATCCCAGCACTGCTTAGCCCAAACTTTTGAAATTTTTACCCGATTTAAAAGTGGAATACCTCTCTGAATTTGTTATTAAAATATCTATCTAGCTGCATTATTGGTTTTATTGTATTTATTAAAAAGTATAATACAATAAAGTATTATCCAAACCCGCAACAAGATAAAATAAGCAGACACTTTTTAATGTTAAACCGCACGCACTCGTTGTCAAAGGAGAAGTAAAGCGTCGTGTTCGCGTGTACAAGCAAATGCCCAAAGTGTAGAAGGAAAAGCGCAAGAAGATTCCGTTACTTCTTGCGATCTCCTCCTTCATCGCACTCACACATACAAGCATCAAATGAATGCATGTGCATCAATGTGACTTTTCCTTATATATGTATATTCATATTTTACAACACGCCACCTCAAAAGTTACATTGAGCAAAAACAAAAATTTGACATACGAGATTGTGCTTATCTTTTAATTTCTTGTTTCTTTCTTAATTTCTGGGGATTACAATTAGATCCAGCATTCGCTGCAAAGAGTTGGGGAAACCCAGTAAAACCCAACTAGATCTACATATACAAATAGCGAAAAATTTACATAAATTCAAATTTTGAACAAAAGAAAAATTGTAAAAATATTAAAGCATTTCACTTAAGGTTGTAAGGATGCTAATCACGGGCCAGGATAAATACTCAGTCTATCCAGGGTCCCCTACAGAAATAATTTATATTTACGGAGACAGACAGGACAAGGAGGCGGGTTCCCTAATTGGGCGTGGGTTTGAGGGGGGGAAAGTTTGGGTTGCGTGCCGTGGTTATGCCGTCGGCCCGTCACCCGGGCGGCCGGCGGACCAGGGCAGGCCCAGGGCGACCGATCCCGTCACCCGTGGATCGGCTTATCCGGCCCCGTCAACCGGGTGCCGGAGCCCTGTTAGGGGGCGGAGGGTTACGAGCCGTCGATCCCGTCACCCGGGAGTCGACTTGCCAGCCCCGTCACCCGGGTGCTGGTGCTCAAGGAAAGGATGTAGTGAGCGACTGATCCCGTCACCCGTGGATCAGTATGCCGGCCCCGTCACCCGACGGCCGGTGCTCGAACTACGAGGGAGGGGGGTTTTGAGCGACCGATCCCGTCATCCGTGGATCGGTGCTCCTCAGTACAGGTTATGAGCGGCTGCCCCCGTCACCCGGGGGTCAGCATGCCGGCCCCGTCACCCGACGGCCGGTGCTCCTAGATACGGGATTTTAGCGGCTGCTCCCGTCACCCGGGAGTCAGCATGCCGGCCCCGTCACCCGACGGCCGGTGCTCATAGGTATGGAGGGGAAAGGGGAAGGAGGACTTGGGAGAGAGAAGACTATGGTTAATTGTGGTTTTCTTACAACTTTATTCATAATTCCTTAATGCCTGAGGGTCCCTAGTTCCCTGCGCACGTGCTGGCCACCCTGTAGGGCTGGCCCGCGGCCGGCTCACCCGTCTTATCGGAGGGACTCCATGTCCACGTGTCCTTTTATCCTTGTCGCCATCCACTCACGTCCGTTCACTCTGCTTGCCAAAATCCAACCGTCCACTCTGATGGTCAAAAACTAACTCCGTTCACTCCGATGGTCAAAATCTAACTCCACGATCGGCGAACAGCGAAGGCTGCTCGAAGCCCTCGCTGCTGCCGTCGACTGCGGCAGCGGCCCTTACGCTGCTTTCGTGCAGGCTATAGGCGTCCTCTTTCGTCTGCCACCTCCCGCACCCGCGTCTCTTACGCGATCGTGCGTTCCTCTTCTTTTCCGTGTCTCTCCGGACCCGGCCGTCGGTTCTGCCGAGGGCTCAAGTTTGGAGAGATGGAGATGTTGCTGATGTGCGTGTTGCTGATGCGCGTGTTGCTGAATGTGGTTTTGCGTGTTGCTGATGTGGTTTTGCGTGTTGATGATGTGATCCTCGGCGTGGCCGGGGATGTGGCCCGTACTGGGGCGCACCACACCCCAACTCAAAAGTGATTGTCCCCTCGGGGTCTAACTGAGGGAAAGCGGGATGCCCTTCATGGGCCTTAATATTACAAAAGGGGTGCCCTCCGTGGGTCTTGGTCGTCCTTACCCTAAACCTTATAGTTCTACCTTATACTCTACCTTATAAATTACGCCTAACTACTATGTACATGAGGGGGAGGGGGGGCCCTTGTGAGGGTTACCTCACACCCCATCCCTTCCTCGGGGGTGCGGGAAGACCTTTACCCGGCCGCTGGTCGAGATCTGGATGCGATAGCGGATGCCGGCTACCTCCTCCAGGTAGCGCACCTCCCGGCGTCTCGGCTGGCGCAGATGCCCGTCTATACTACGCAGGAGGGCGATGGGTACCCACCCGTCTTCGGTAACCCATCCGTCGAGGGCGCGGACCTGGGCGTTTGGAGGCAGGGGATCCACCGGGGAAGCTCCTCCTCCGAGTCGGCGTCCTCCTCGTCTTCCTCGGCGTCCTCTCCTAATTCCTCGTCAGTACTGGCCTCCTCCATGGGCCATGGGGCCGGTCGGCGGAGGATGCCTGGGCGGCCGACTGGTTCGCCTTCGGGGTTGGCCAAAGGCTGGCGGCCACGCCAGCGCTGCTGGTCGGTGGCCGGCATAGGCCTCACCCGCCGCACGGGCCTGGACGGCAGGACGGCAGCTACGGCTGCAGTGGCCGCGGTGCCGTCAGGCGGCGTCGGGGCGCGCGCCGTGGCGGCGGCGTCCGGTTGGGCGGCCGCTTGGGTGGCGGCGTCTAGTTGAGCCATGGCGGCCGGCGGGATGCCGGCGGCCGATCCGGCGGCTGCGTCGGGTTGAACAGTGGCGGCCGGCGGATGCCGGCGGCCGATCCGGCGGCTGCGTCGGATTGAGCAGTGGCGGCCGGTGGGATGCCGGCGGCCGATCCGGCGGCTGCGTCGGGTGGAGCAGTGGCGGCCGGTGGGATGCCGGCGGCCGATCCGGCGGCTGCGTCGGATTGAGCAGTGGCGGCCGGTGGGATGCCGGCGGTCGATCCAGCGGCTGCGTCGGGTTGAGCAGTGGCTTCCGCCGTGGGGATCGTGGCCATTATTGTTCGGACCGCGGCCCGGACTGCCTCCCGCTGCTGGGATGCGGCGGACGTGGTGGGTCCGTCGGGGACGCGGCCAGCTTCCCCAGCAGGAGCGCGAGCAAGTCATCCCCCGTGGGGGTGCTGGCTCCTGCCCGGACGGTTGCCGCGTCGGCGGTGTCGTCGGCGGCGGTGAGCGTGGGCGTGGCCTGCTCCTTGGCGTCGGTGGCACTGGGTGCGGGCCTGGGTGCGCCCGTGGCAGCGGCGCCGGTGGCCCGCACCGCCATGGTGGCAGCGGTGCTGACCCCGGCTGATGCTGGAGGGTCGGGCTCCGGGTACGGGCCCGGCCCGAAAAGCTCCTCGTATGAGGGCGGTGGTGTTTCTCGGTGGGGCGGTACCCACGGCACGGTCTCCTCCTCGTCGAGAAGGACAACTGTGTCCATCGCCGCGCCCCGTGGCTCGTCGTCGTCCGAGCTGAGAGTCACCACCTCAGCATCGGAGACCTCCTCATAAATTGCGCCCAGCGGCCCACGGGGGTCGGCGAGGCGGGGACCGAGGGGATGGCTGGGTCCGGCTCTTCTTCTGCCTCAAAATAGAGGCCACCACGTCCTCGTAGGTCAGCCCTTCGCACCATGTGGGGCTGATCGCGGGCGACGGCTGGGCGTCGCTGTCGGCGGTGGTCGCTGGTGGGGTGGATCCGGTGGCATCGGGCGCGGCCGATGGCGGACGCGGTGGGCGCCCACGTGTCGGCGGCGACCGTGCTTGTCGGCGTCGGTGGCCGCGAGTTGCGCCTGGGGCTGGTGGCGTTGGCTGCCAGGTGCAGTCCCTCTAATGCGGACATCGCACAGTGGGCGATTTGGTCTCGCTAGCGGCATTTAATTAATAACTTCTAAACTAAAATAGATATCTTCAGTCGGTTTTTTTTCACCGATCAAAGAAAAATCATACAATTTTTTAAGTTAAAAAAAAGTTTTTTTTTAATACTTTTTTATTTTTTTTTTTTTAATTTAAAAAATATATTTTTTAATTTTAAATTTTGATTTATTTTTATGTTTTTTAAACTTCAATTAATATATTCCATAAACAAACATAATTTAAAAATGGCTAGAATTTTATTCAGAATCATCGGAATCAGACGGCGGCATAGTAAAAATACTAACATATACTAAAAAAAGATCCCTTTTTGCTACTGACATTGTGCCTTAAAAGTACCATAGTTTGAAGGCTAGCAGGTACTAGCAGTTCATATTACACACATTGGACGCCACTGATTCACCCTTTCGGCTAATAAAGAGTTAGACTGAATCCACTTGAATCAGGTAAGTTCTTCTCCACGAAAGACAGGTGTACGCTAATCCGGGCTCGTTGTTAATACACTGAATTGCCACTACGTTTTATGAGCTACACATTTATAGACCGGTCACAAACATTAATTTTTTTGTAATGGATACCTTGAAATTAATAAAAAAAACCAAACTTTTAATAAATTCACTAAAAATTGTAAATTTCCGAGGAACTTGAATTCGATGCGCGCAAACAGGTAAAATTTTGTAAAGTTCTTTGCAAAATCATTTTCTGTGTTTGTCCGATCACAGCTGATGATCAGCTCATCGTAGAACTTTTAAAATGCTTGGATAAATCTAATCAAAGTATCTATTATCGAATTGTGAAAAAAATCATCGCTTTTTGAAAGTTGAAATTTGAATTAAATGCCGCTAGCGAGACCAAATCGCCCACTGTGCATCGTCGTGGCGGAAGCCTCGGTGTTTGGGCGCTCACCTGGGTCCTGATTAGCCGGGCGATCGCGGCGGTGGCGATGGTGGCGATGGCGGCGACGTGGTTCGTCCTCTGAATGGCGCGAATGGCGGCGCTGCGAATTCGTGTTCCTATCTCTCGGCATGTTTTTAGCTTTTGCGTCTCACAATTTGTAGGTTTGAACGCGTGGGTCTGCAGAGCGAAGATCGCGCTATCTTTATCGATATCCGATAGCGCGCTGCCCGTACGTATCGAAGTTGCTTTTCGGTCGATCTGGCAATTCCAATAACGAATATTTGGGATCTATGAAAATAAACAAACGTATTAGTAGAGTCCACCCCTCTTTTAGCCTGCTTGAGGGTGGCGCCTATCCTAAGCTCCTGCGCTCCTATAGCTCCTTAGGATCAGAGCCGATGCCAGAGTGGAGGCTTCTGGACTGATCACGGGCGTCGTGGTCGTCGTGGTCGTCATGGGCTGCGGTGATGCTGAGGCTATCCTCGTTCTGATGTTCGTCGTCGTCCGCGTTGCTTTGGTGATATGCTTTTAGGTTGTTTATGCTGGCCGTTCGGCGACGGCGGCTCCCGATATCTTGCAGCCGGACGATGTTCGGCGAGAGGAACTTGATCACTCGGAACGGGCCTTCATATTTCGCAGCCAGTTTGGCCGCGAAGCCCTCGGCGGCGTTTGATAGCACATGATGGCGGGCGAGAACGAGGGAGCCCAATGGTGGCTTCCACTCCCGTCGTCGTAAATTGTAGTGCCGGCCTTGCTCGGCCGTGGCACGTTCGGCGTTGTCGCGGGCCACTTTAAATATGCTGTGCAGCTGCTCGCCCTCTCCGCTGGGGGAATCAGGGCGGTTCCTCGTCCCGGGGTGACTTCGTCGTAAAGTGCATTGGGTAGGCGTGGTTCCCGGCCTTGTACCAGAAAGGCGGGGCTGAATCCCGTTGTGTCCGACACGCTACCGTTGACGGCCAGCGAGATTTCTGGCAGGAGTTGATCCCAGGTGTTCTGCGGCGCGTCGCCCAGGTATTGCGCGATCATGGTTTTCACGGTCCTGTTGGCCCTCTCCGTAGGATTTTGACGGGGCGTGTAGGGCGCAGTATACTGCAGTTCCATTCCTAGTGATTTGCAAAATGTCCGGAAATCCCGGCTGGTGAACTGAGTTCCGTTGTCACAGACCAGAGTCTTCGGGACTCCGAATCGACTCAGGATCCGTTCTCTAAACGCTCGTTCGAGATATGGTACCGTGGCTCGTCGCAGTGGGACGAGTTCCACCCACTTGCTGAATGAGTCGAGGAACACCAATAGGACTGTGTTCCCTAGCTTGGATCGTGGGAGGGGTCCAACGAAGTCCGCACATAGTATGTGGAAAGGTTCGTCGACCTGGCGGGTGAACATTTTCCCGGCCGGTTTTTCTTGGCTTACCTTAAACTTCTGACAGCTTGTGCATCGGCGTACGTATTTGGCCACTTCTCGAAATAATCCGGGCCAGTAGTACTTCTGGGCGACTCGTGTGCTTGTCTTCCGCACGCCCAGGTGGCCTGCGGTGGGGTGGTCGTGGCATTCCGTCAGCACTCTTGCGCGGTCGTTAGTGCCCACGCATAGTTTCCAGGGGGTGTATTCCTCATCCTCCGGGCGCAGCCCGATGCGTCTGTAAAGTTGCCCGTTCTCCTCTCGAAAGTCTGGATACTTGGCCGGCTCCTGTCGGGTCCTGTGTAGCATTTTCGTGATCCACTTACAGTTGATGTCCTGAACTTGTGCCTGCTGCATGGTGGCCAGTGGCTGGCGCGATAGTGCATCCGCGACCAGATTCTGGGTTCCGCGTCGGTATGTCACGTCATACTGGAACTGCTGCAACTCCAATGCCCACCGAGCGATCCTGCCCGTGGGGTTGTCGATGGAGTTCAACCACTTTAGCGAGTGGTGGTCGGTCAGCACCTCGAAACGGTATCCTTCGAGATAGCAGCGCATCTTACGGATGGCCCATACTATAGCGAGGCATTCCTTTTCCGTAACAGAATAGTTGCGCTCGGCGGTGTTTAGCCGGCGGCTAGCGTAAGCGATTACGCGCTCCTGTTGGTCGATAGTCTGGGTGAGTACGGCTCCCACGCCGTATTCGCTTGCGTCGGTTTGGAGTACAAATTTCTCTTCGAAATCTGGGCACGCCAGAATTGGTGCCTCTGTGAGCAGGTCCTTCAACTTCTGGAACGCCTGTTTCTGCTTCTCGGTCCATCCCCAGCTTTGATCCTTCTTGAGTAGCGAGGTCATTGGTTCGACCACGTCCGCGAAGTTTGGCACAAAGCGTCTGTACCAAGACGCTATGCCGAGGCATCGGCGAAGCTCCTTCAGTTCCCGGATGGCAGCGACCTTGTCGGGGTCGGTCTGTATCCCGGCCTCGCTGATTACATGGCCAAGATATTTTATGCTCCGCTGGAAAAACTGACACTTGTCTCGGTTGAGGCGGAGATTGGCCTCTCGAAGCCGTCGAAATACCTCGCGTAGATTCCGCACGTGCTCGGAGAGAGTGGCGCCGACGACGATGATGTCGTCCAAGTAGGCGAAAGCGTGTGGTTCCATGTCGGGGCCGATGACGGTGTCCAGCGCCCGTTGGAATGTGGCCGGCGCCGAGTGAAGCCCGAAAGGCATCACCTTCCAGTGAAATAGTCCGCGGCCCGGGACGGTGAATGCGGTGCATTCGCGGCTGTCCGGGGCGACTGGGATCTGCCAGTACCCGTTCTTCAGGTCCAACGTCGATATATAGCGGGCGTTTCGCAGCCGCTCCAAGATGTGGTGGATCCGCGGCAGCGGATAAGCGTCGGGGATCGAGTTCTCGTTTAGCTGTCTGTAGTCGATGCACATCCTGGCCTCTCCATTCTTCTTTGCCGCGATGACTATCGGCGCGCTATGGGGGCTCTTGGAAGGCTCTATGCGTCCATCGCGGATAAGCTCGTCGATCTGTTGGTCGATGACGGCCCTCATCGCGGGATTCCGTGGATGATAGCGTTGCTATCATCCTCTCTGGCTCTCGGTTCCTCCTCGATGTCGTAGTCAGCGTCAGCGATACCGCAGGATGGAGGTGGTGGTTCCAAATCGCTGAAGCGGACCCTCTTGGCCCCTTTGCGAAATGGGTTTCGCTGAACCGCTACTGGATCAGGCGGAGGTAGCGCTCCGGCCCAGCTTGGGACCGTGCGCACGTTGGGGTGCCTGGCGCTGCGTGGCGCGTCAGGGCGTTGCGGTGAGTGCCCCTGGGTGGCTGATGAGTCTGCCCGAGGGTGCGCCTGTGTGGCGGCTTGTGCCGTCGTCCGTGGGGCGGCTTGTGTTTGCGCCGGTGTGGCGGCTTGAGTTTGCGCCTGCGTGGCGGCTGAGGGGTGCGCCTGCGTTGCGACGGCTGATGCGTGTGCCCGTGGGGCGGCTGGTGTTTGCGCCCGTGTGGCGGCTTGGGGTTGCGCCCGTGTGGCGGCTTCAGTGTGCGCCCGTGTGGCGGCTTGTGTTTGCGCCTTGGTGGCGGCTTCGGTGTGCGCCCGTGTGGCGGCTTTGGAGTGCGCCCGTGTGGCGGCGTCGATGTGCGCTCGTGGAGCGGCTTTGGAGTGCGCCTGGGTGGCGGCTTCGGGGTGCACCTGTGTGGCGGCTTGTTTTTGCGCTCGTGGAGCGGCTTGAACCTGCGCCTGAGTGGCGGCTTGTTTTTGCGCTCGTGGAGCGGCTTTGGAGTGCGCCTGGGTGGCGGCTTCGATGTGCGCCTGTGTGGCGGCTTTGGAGTGCACCTGGATGCCGGGTGTATGCGCCGGCGTGGTGGCACGTTTGTGCGCCCGTGGGGCGGCTTGTGTTTGCGCCTGGGTGGCGGCTGAGGAATGCGCCTGCGTGGCGGCTTCGATGTGCGCCTGGGTGCCGGGTGTGTACGCCGGCGTGGCGGCACGTTTGTGCGCCCGTGGGGCGGCTTGTGTTTGCGCCTGGATGGCGGCTTCGGGGTGCGCCTGGGTGGCGGCTTGGGGCTGCGCCTGTGTTGCGGCGGCCGGTGAGTGCGCCTGGGTGGCGGCTTCGATGTGCGCTCGTGGAGCGGCTTGTTTGCTCCTGGTTGGTGTCGGCGAGCTGGTCCTCGTGGGTTGGTCAGGAATGGGTGGCTCGAGTTGGAGGGTCAAGCCCCCACACTGTAGTGTGGCTCCTCCGTAACACAGGAAATCCATCCCGAGTAGAAGGTCGTCCAGCACATCCGCCATGATGAGGGCGGAGACGCTGACCCGAGCCTTTCCCAGCTGGATCGTGATTCGCAGGGCCTGCGTGAGCTCCCCTGCCGGTTCCGTCTGCTAACTTCACCCGCGTTCGCACGGCACGATGGTTCTTCCCGTCGTGGAGTGCCCTTGCCAGGCGCTCGCTTATAAAGCTATGCGAGGCCCCCGTATCCAAGGTGGCGGTGAGTGGTCGTCCCTCGACCGTGACCTGTGCGCGGATACGGTTCCGATCGTGTTGGATGGCGTTGGTTACTGGGTGTGGGAGTTCGGTGGGTTCCTCGAGTGGCTCCCTGATACTCGAGGCCCTTGCCCGTTTCCCGGCGTCTGGTTCCTGCAGCACTCGATAGTGCGTATGCCTTGGCGACCGCAGTCCCAGCAGAACATGGTCCTCTGGTTCCGGCATTCCGTGGCGTAGTGACCAGCCTGGCCGCAGTTTCGGCAGGTGGTGCGGGGGGTCGGTTGACCTGGTGGGCGTGGCCCCTTGGGTGGAGTTTCCTCCGGTGCCTCGGCTGGCGGCGTCGTTGGTCGCGTTCCCAGGGCGTGGCACCTGCGGTGTGTGAACAGGGTTCGCCCTAGGTCGTGCGTTCCTGCTCTGGGGTGGATACTCGGCGTCTGCGTTTGCCGACGGGTATCCACGGACGGGTCGGCCTCCGCGGCTGCGGGCGACTTCGTAGTTGACCACCAAATGTGTGAGCTCGGTCAACGTCTTGAAATCCTGGCGGCGGGTAAACAACTGGTACTCGGGCAGCATGTTCTCGTAGACTCGTTCTAATTCCTGCTCCGGCGAGAATCCAGCGCGGCGCATCTGGAGACGAAGATCCACCAGGTACTCCTTGAACGGCTCGTTCACTTTCTGGAAGTGAGTGCGGATTTCGTCGTCGAGGCGTTGTTAGTACCGGGGCGGCAGGAAAAATTCCAA